GATGATGAAGAAGGTTCCAAAGCAGGAAATATCGGGAATGGACTCTGATTCCAGTATAATTTCTGCACAAGGTAAAGAGGAAGCTCTGCATGTGCCGGCAGATGATCCTCTCCTCTTTTGTCATTCTGGAGTCGAGCAACTTACTGAGGACAAATCGAAAGTGGATCATCCATCCATGGATTCATGATACTGTATTTGGGCCTGGGCCTCACAAACTGCCTGTCAGAAGGCATATCAAGCAGGAAAATGGTGCAAATTTTTCTTTGCCAACTGATAGCTTAACTTCTCCTCTAGAAGCAAATGTTTTCATCTCAACTGAAAAGTTGCCTGTTAGGAGACATATAGCGCGGGTAAACCATGTAAATTCTTCTTCAGCAACCAATTCTTTTCAGGTTCAAGCATCCGCTTCTTTTGAAGCAATTGCCGTGAGCTCTGTGGAAGATTCATTTCCCCTCTAGTTGAATGGGACGTTTCTAATGGGGGATTTGATGAAGCTATGACATTGGATTATGACTGTCTTGGTTTTGATGATGCGGAGTTTGAACCTCAGACATATTTCTCTTTTAATGAGTTGCTCGACTCTGAAGATGCTGGTGGTTCAAATGGTGCTGAATTATCAGAAATCCCAATAGAAAATTGGGAAAATCCATCCGCATTCCCACAAAATGAAGCTCTCAAGATATCTTATGATAATGAAGAACCTATGATATCTATTGAAACCAATCTCCATATTCCTTGTAAGATTTGTTCCCACACTGATCCTTTCCCGGATCTTTCTTGTCAGATATATGGTGTTTGCATTCATAGTCATTGTTCTCCATGGGACCAGCAGTTGCCTCAGGAGGACGGCTGGAGGTGTGGCAATTGTCGGGAATGGAGATATTCATTCTTTTGTGGTTTTTTGATGTTTGGATGTTTGAGGTGGGGAATGGATGGACCACTTTATTTGCCGACTGAGGAGACTGGCAATTACATAGAAAATTCGAATATGCTAGTCGCTTGTGATATTTGCTTGAGATGATACGGAAATTGGAGTGGCAACGTGGTAAATGCCTATTGCTTTGCTCGGTTCACTTCGTGGTTACATGACTTGTTTGTTCTTGTTTTGGCAAGTTTTACTGCTACAAACAGTAGAATATGTTTGTTTGTCCCAGGTTTCATTGATGATAGAAGTGAAAAGTTGAGCTCATTATTCCCCTTTTGAGGAGTTGTTGGGGGGAAAACAGTGACTATTTTTAGATTGAAATTCTTCTGATCTTGAAGGATAGGTTGGGTTTTTTGTGCTTATCTGATTCTTTTGCTCGTAAAAGACATTGGGATTAAGTATTTTGAGATCAGTTCAAGTCATTTTTGTGCTCCTTTGATTCTCTTTTTAACATTTTATTAGTCAGAAAATTTATCCTTAATCATAGTTTTCGCCCAAAAATATTGTTAACATACTTTAAAATGAAGGTCAAATGTTTAATCGCATTATTTTTTATTCATAAAAAAAAATACACTAAGCAAATGAGTTTTTAAAATTTATTCTAAAGAAAATTTTAGGGAGAAATAAGACCTTCATTGGCTCCGGCCTATATGTACAAGATCAAACAATAATTATTAAAATGATTGTTTATTACATTGTTGAGTACAATTTAATTCAACGTAGAATCGTATTAGCAGCCACATTTGTTACATATGTGCAACTCAACAAGAATTGGATAAGGCCGATTATTTCTTTTGTTTTTTTTGTTGCATTTCAAGTTGGAAAATGAAAGGGATAACTAAAAGGAGACCTTTTTTTTCTCGTAGCAAAATGAGAACACAAAGGAAATAAGTGCTTTGAATAATATTTTTAAAATCGGTTCAAATAATGACCCGGGTTAAAAGGATCAAATCGCAGTCAAATCGATAACAAAACAAATTAAAATAAATACATAACAACTTCGGAGTGAAGAGTTGGTTTTGAGCAAATCGAGCGGTTTTAGTTCTTAAGTTATTTTAGTGGGTTCTATTTCTTGAATAGGTTGATTCAATTCAATTTTAACAATACCGACTTTGAAAGGAGTATAATAGCATACTAGGAAGGAGAATAATAGACTAATACATTGATATGTTTCATATTTGGTAGTCATTAAAAAGAGATTTTTTTGGAAAACGTGTGATTGAAAATATGAAAAAGTTTTAGACCTACGTGCGAAAAATTTTATTTGTAAATGGGCGGTTGAAATTGAGTTTGAGAAAAAAAGAGAATTTTGGAAAAATGGATGACAGATAGGTGCTGAATTAGATATACTATTGACATACAAGATTTAACTAAATATATGTATATACCTCCTTCATAATAATTAAGCTTTTAGAAGCAAAAACTTGGGTTCTTGTTGCCACCCTTTTCTAAAATTTATGTGTGTATCAAACTTCTAATGAATTTGATCTGTATGCTAAAGTTGAGATTTTTTAAAATAGAGAGGCTCGACTATTGACACAGTTTATTATTTTTCTCTAATATTATTCAGTATAATGTATTAATCGTATTTCAAACACAATTGCTTTTCGGTATCAATCATGCTACAATGCCATAATTCTTGACATAATGTCATATGACATTTCATTATTAAACTGTTTTAAACATAGTCAGTTTTTCATCAAATTATCTACTGTCATCTCGAATTATATCATTATATCTGTTACATTTATTCTGACAAAGTGATAAAATCCTTTCAGTATTATCTTGTCCGCACAAGAAATT